TTTCGGCTGCAGCGTCAGAGGTCGATCCTTTATAGCAGTGATAATAGGGGTGTTGGTGATCGACTCTCTTTTTTGGCTGATCCCCAGCACTTCGTAGTTGATACTAGAATTCTCTTCGTAGAAAACTGAAAATTGTCAGAAGCAAAACATTAGTTCATGTAAGAAGCTTCAGATGGTAGAAACTGAAAAAGCAGAAAATAAAAGCTTCGGCCCCAGCCGAATCACTTACCACCTTGGTATCTTCGGCTGAGGCCGACAACTGCCAACATCTTCTCTTGGAAGATGTAATGACAGCACGGTAGCCAAACAGTTGGCACAACGGTCATTCGCCCAGTAGCGCCAGGGTTTGAAGATCGGCCGAAGAGTTCCATCTGCTGACGATCTGCTTCTGTGAAATCGTCAGGGCCGATGCTAGACATTGATGGATCGGGCTTCCTGGTATAGCGAGGTCCCCCGAAATAATTAGGGTGACTCTCATCCGAAGGAGCTCGCACCCAGATCCATTGACCCCTCCAAAATTTGTCCGAAGTATCATTCGGATAGGCGGTCAGATATCCCTTCTCATCTTCTATGTGCCACCAGCCGCGACCATGCCATTTACTCGACTGGGTGTTCGGCGACAGTTTGTGTGTACACCGAAAGCAATGGAGGCTCGGCTCTAGCCCATAGAAGAGACACACCCAAAAATATGTCATGACCCTCTTGATGCTAACTGGGGTCAGCTGGGCCAAAGACATGTTGTACCCGTTCAGAACTTTGATAACGAACGGATGAACAAGAAACCGCAGCCCATTCTGCAGCTGCCGAACATAAACCCCAATATAACCAGGGGGCCCGATAGATCCTCTCCAGCACCGTAGGCATTCGACACCAATACCCATCGGCTTCCATAATGCCGTAACACACTTCTAGTTGCTCGGCAAAGCGGTACCGAGCATTATTGTCTAACCACCAAGAGGATGGCTCAGTCATCAGCAGACCTGAGTTCTCATGCTCATCGGTCCACTCCCGCTCTTCAAGAGTCAGAGGCCGAGGTCTTGAGAAAGCCCTTCGGCCAGAAGTACTGACTTCGGCTGGTTCATTAGGAAGGGCACTATTCAAAGGGATGGCCCTCAGTCCCTCGCCACTAGAGGAGGAGCCAGCCTCAATTCGGGCATTAGGGTTGCGGCCGCTCAGGAACAGCATCATTGCTAGAGGACGATTGCGCTTCAGAATTAATTGCGGCACCTCTTCCTTTGAAGCATCAGCCTCAGGTTCCATTGGTCTCTTTCCAGGATTGCCGGCCATTTCGAAATCGGCGGCGACGCGAGAAAGACAAGAAAAAGGGGGAAAGCTTAAAGAAAGGGGAAATCCGAACGGAATTCTGAAAAAATTACCTCTATCAGACTCGAAATTCGCCGATTTAGTAGTTCGGAGCAACGAATTACGCTGAAAAGCTTCCGAAAGTGCAGAAATTAGTGAAAAGAAAAGTGGAGTTTGCGCGAGTTCGCTGGGAAGTGAGAGTAAATTGGAAGTGTGTTTGATTTGAGAATGCCGGAAATAATAATGCAAAGGCAAGTTAAATATCTGGCAAAAAACCCACTCACTTGATTTTAATTCACAAACTCTTCAAATTCTTCCCAAACCAATTACAAACCGCCAAAATTAATTATCCACTAAGTTCACTCCACTCCCCCACTATCATTAGTTAACCGTCATTAAGGTTAATTAATCAATCATTAACGGTTATTAAAACCGTACAAATTCTCAACAAAAATTTAAATTATTTTCATTTATTTCCCTCCAAGTCTAGCAGCAGTTGAAAACCCGACCCGTTATCCTCACGAATCGGGTCTGGGGGGCAAGTTGTTTGGGGTCCAAATAACTTGTATTTGGGCCCAGTCCACAAATGAAAATAAACAAAGCCCACAAGGCAAGGTTCAACCCTCATGTTCAAAAGGCCAAGTCAGATAATGCAAGGCCCAGTTAAATGGCAGCCCATTTAACTCCTCAAACCCAATCCACTCAATTGGAGTAAGGTATAAAAGCTCATATTTTTGCACAATTACATTGATTCACACAAATTGCCTCAAGCGAATAAACTCTCTTGCATAGCTTTTCTCTCATTATCTTACACCCGTACTGACTTCGGCGTCGGAGGGGCCTTCCTCGGCACAACCCCCGAGGCTAGTTCACGTGTGTTTAGCTGTGCAGGAAATCCTCAATTCGGTCATCACTCGAATTGGGCTTCGTCTCCACTCATCCGAAGGACCTGCCGAAGGTCCATTGTTTTCTAACCGAAACAGAACCTTTTCTCATTGCTTTTATTGATATCTCAAGGGAGTAATCTATGAATAAGTGTAATAGAGATAAGCTAAAGGTAAGCTGATAGTTTAAGAATGTATGTATTGGTGTCGGTTATACAAGAAACCAATAAAGGGCTTACATTTCATACAAATTTAGGAAGTAAAGCATACTAATAATCAATAAACTCTTTTAATCACACAAAACACTGTATAAGTGTATAATAATAAGGATTAACATTAGCAATCTTTTCTATATATATATTCTTATAAACTGTCTAAATCAAAGGGTCACTATATTCTTGAACCAAACTCAGCACTATCTTTTGCAAAGCAATTTTTTTTTTTGTGGGAATAGCATATTTTCGACCAAACTATTGGAGTCCCACATCGAAGAAAGTAAAGCAGAAGAGAGAGCAAGTGATGTATAAAATGAAAGCTTACGTGGCAAAGCAACATATTAACCTGGACGGGGTCAGTGGGCGATCAAAAAGGCCCATGGCCTAGGTCGATGGCCTCCATTGCACTTCCAGTAGTTAGTGGCTGAGGTTGCTGTCAAAAATGTTCATTTAGTATAACAAAAATGAACATTTTTTAACTTAACATACTTAACAATGATTTTATATTTTTTAATAATCAAATGTTCATTTTCATATAGTATGATGTTCAGTATTATAAAATAAATATTCATTAACATGTTGTATGTTGTACATTCTTATAAAAATAAATGTTCATTTTATTTTATAATTAATACAAATTTTTGTGTTTGTTCAGTTGTATAAAATGTTCATTTTTATAATAAAGATGTCAAATTAAAATTAGCATTAATAATGTTAGACATTAGCATTTTGTTCATTATTAAAAAACATATTGTTGATTTATTTAAGGAAAATTGTAATCTAATAATCCCACCTTTAGTCGGTCTTCCATAAACAATCCCACGTTTTGAAATTGCAGAAATAATCCCACTTTTGATCCTCATCTTCCACTAACGATCCCACTGACCTACAACTTGTTAAGCAGGTTATTTTATTTATTTATTTATCTATTTTTTTTAACTATACTCCTTCTCAAGCCACCAGTCCAACCACCACCCAACACTCACTCCTTACCGCCACCCCCACCACCAAGCCACCACGAAACTCACCAACCACGCCGGAAAATCCAATAACCATCCCCAAAACCCAACCCCCACCACGAAAACAGAAACCTAAACACAAAGTTTGGTAATCTCAAAAGTTGTTAGGTTGATAAAATCAGAAATGGAGAAGGAAAGAGCAACATCAACAGCAGCAGCAGAGGAATTTGATTACGACGATGAAGAAGAAAAGAAGATGGACAAGTTTTACAAATTAATTAGAAGATTCAATGAAGCTCGAAATCATCATCAATTCCGCCATCAAAATCAACCTCAATTGAATCGCAATAATAATAATAATAATAATCAGACGAAGAATAAGAGTGATGTGAATTTGAATTATAATTATAAAGGTTCTGCTACAGATACTCGGACAACCTGGATGCCTTCCTTCAAATGGGAGGATTTTCGACAGGTTCTTTCTCATCAGAATCAGCAGGAGAGTGATCGAGATCGACAGCTGCCTGTTTCTTCTGAAAAATCTGCAATTGATTTTCTGCAACCTCATCCAGAAATATCCAAATTTGATGATTATAATATCAACAATTTGAAGAAAAAGAGGAAGATGGATGACGTCAATGATGACGATGATGGTGAGATCACCACCGCTGATCATAACAAACATTCAAGTCCCAGATTGGACCTCAATCTTGCCCTCTGATTTAACCAATTAATTTAATCCTTAATTAGATTTTGGATTAATTAGGCCTTTTTTTTTTTTGAAACTCAATCCTCAGCCACGAAATACTCCACCCTAGCCACGAAATACTCTACTCCGACCCCGAAAAACGTCACCCATCGTCTCCAATTCGGTTTTTGGTTTGAAATTAAACGCAAATTATTATTTCAATCATCTGAAAAATCGAATTGAAAGGGAATGAATTGATGAATTCAGAGAAGAGAGAAAGAGCAGGAGAAGGAGAAGGAGAAGGAGAAGGAGAAAGAGGGGTTCTGGGCTGCGAATTGGGTTGGGTTTTAGGGGAAGCTAGGTGGTTGCAGGAGCTGATTTCGGGCTACAGGGGTTGGGTTCCGGCGCCTTGAAGGGGTAGGTTGGGTTGCCGGGGAAAGCAAGGGTGGGGATGCGGTGGCGGGATGGGGAAGGGATACGGTGGTTGGGCTGGGGGTTTTGGTTTTGTTTTTTTTTTTATATTATTTTTTTATTAGTTTTTTTTTTTTTAAAAAAAGGTTAAACCTATTAAAACCTGACACGTGTCTTATAACCTATGAAAACCGGTTATCAAAACAATCCAATCGGTAAAGGATTGTTAAGGGAAGATGGGGGTCTAAGGTGGGATTGTTTCTGGAATTTCAAAAGGTGGGATTGTTTATGAAAGATCGACTAAAGGTGGGATTATTAGTTTACAATCTTCCATAGAAAAATAAATAAAAAATTTCCACAATTAGTAAAGATGATCCCCAAGTAAAACCTGTCCAATAAACATCTAGTTCCAGGAACCTATCACAATTCTCATATTCTACCCGTTTTTCAAACGGGCAGCCCAATTACCGAATACCGACTATCCAAAATCTCTGCCCGTACATTCCGGGCAGCTCAGACTCATTCACTCCTCTGAAACAAAGAACAAAGTCACCAATACTGAGCTCACTATATAAATGCACTTACGACAGAAATTTATTGACACATTCTCACTTTTTCTCTCTCCTCTGATTTTCTTCTTCTTCTTCTTTACTGGGTAAACTTATGTTCTTCGTCACTTTTAATTTTAATTCATAAATTTAAACTTTATTTTGTGTTTAATTTTGTGATTGATTGATTATATTTTTTGATGACTAAAAATGTGATTGGTTTGATGTCGTCTTTCAGTAGTGAATAATTTTTGGAAAATGTGGAGAGTTACTCGATCTGCGGCGGCGAATCTCCGCCGTACGCGGCGGTTTTCCGTGGCTGCTACGATTCCTGGTCCTTGTATGGTGCATAAGCGTGGTGCTGATATTCTTCATGATCCTTGGTTTAATAAGGTTGATTTTTTAGGCATTTTAATTTTTTGTTGATTTTGTGAAAATTTGATTGAATTCAGGATATTTGATGAGTTGATTGTGTCAATTTTAAGACATTGTGATTGATTTTAATCAGATATGCAAGTCAAAGTTTCAAAATGTTTTTTGACTTGTTAATATGATATTAATCATATTTGTGTGATTTTACATAATGTTAATTTAAGTCAAATTGGAGATTGTTATGTGAATTTACTGGATTTAAGGAATGGAGTGATTAATTGAATATATGCTTGAAGTTGTAGTTTTATTGCTTCTGGCAGTGGAAGTTTGTTTAGATGTTATTAATGCTAAATGAGGAAATAATTGGGAGATATTTGATGATAAGGGCAGGGCACCCTGTGTTGTGTTTATGGAAGTCTCGCCTTGATTTGGACACGCGTTGGGACTCGAATTGTGTATCGATTGTTTCTTGTCACATCTATAAAGCTTTTGAGATGCAAGGAAAATCTTGTAAACTAACAGCAATCTGTAATTCATCCTTATGATGTAAAAATTTGATTTAACATGTATTACTTGTGAGTTGCTGTAAACTGGTACCAATTTTTTGTATAATAGTGCAAGAGAAGGGCTTATGTGTCTGAGCAATGCAATTGGACATGATTTTCAATGGCAACTATGTCAAGTGATTAGCCTTTTGGCTTAGATCACTATTATAGATTTATGCCTTAATGACACACTATGTCTAAGTTCATTTAATTTGCCTTCATCATCTATCTTGCCATGAAAAAAACTTTTTTTTGTTTTTAAAACTTATATTGATCCTTGTACTTGATTAATTGTTTTGCTACAAGCATACAAGAGAAACTTTAAATTTAGTTGTTTGCATTTTTCAAATATTTTTTGAGCAGGATACTGCATTCCCTTTGACAGAAAGAGATCGACTAGGGCTTCGTGGTCTCCTGCCACCTCGTATTATTTCATTTGAACAACAGTATGCCCGTTTCAGTAAGTCCCATTCCCTTTTAACTATGCCTACTATATCTTGAGTTTTTATTTATTTATTTTTTTTATTAATTTTTATTTTTTTTTGATAGCTTTTTTGGTACAATCTCCATTTGTACTTCTAGAATATGGTTGAAAATTCCACAAGTGGTGTATTATATATTTTTTACTAATTTAGATAGAATTGAGACTTAATCAACCATTAATTGTCTAATGTACTTATCCCAGCTTTCTTACTATCTGTCTCTGTGTAATGACTAGTTGATGAAGAACAGCAGATGTAGCTATATTCCCTGGGGGTTTTGAGTATAACTTGGTATAACAAAAAAATATGGACTAAGAGGATTTTCATGACTGTTTTCAAGTTATTATCTACACAAATATCTTATTTTTTTGCCCATCCTTTTGACATTATTTGATTAAATATGAAAGTGAAATCTGCATGTGCTACGTATCATCAGCTCTACTGAATAACCTTGGACTACACTCTGCTAACAAATCTGCAAAGGCTCACCTTATAGTTGTATATGATGTGTTTACTAAAGTCTTTTCATTGGAAATGCATGGTAGTTGAGTCATAACTTTAGCTACACTATGCAATTTGACTTTAAGTAAGAAAGTATCTTGTGTTGGTATTTGCAGCTGGAAAGAAGAGTTCGATAACTTGCTTCTTAGTCAAATTATAAATGAGAAACAGTTTGGTATGAAGTCTTTGCTAGTCAGAGAGGATGATATGCTATCAATGTAACATTGGTTCAATAGAGCAACTGAGTAATGAAATTTTTGTGAAAAGTTCAACTGCAATTTACATTCCCTATATCTCTTCAAGGGTTAGTCCCAATTAAGGCTTCATTCACCTGAAGACCCCTTATCAAGACTTATCTAGCCTTCTTTAGAACTAATCTAAACTTATATCTAGTTGTGAATGAACTTGGTAGCCCTAATGTGAAATAATCCTCTACTTTCATTAAGCTTATTCTTAGTGAACTTTCTTTTATTTAAGGTGAAAAGGTCTTAATTTGCACAAAGTATTATATTTGTTTTGTTTGACGAATCAAAGTCTTTGTCTTTGGTGATACATATTAAGTATGTTAATGTGTATATTCTGTTGATTTATGAATTACAGTGGATTCATATCGATCACTGGAGAAAAATACTCAGGGGCAGCCAGAGGCTTCTGTATCTTTGGCAAAATGGAGAATTTTGAACAGACTGCATGACAGGAATGAGACGTTATATTACAGAGTAAGTTTCATGATTTCTTACCACAGGTTTTGAATCAGTTATGACCTGAGACAGTTCGGTCATTGCATTCAGGTCCTTATTGATAATATCAAAGACTTCGCTCCCATTATATATACTCCAACTGTAGGGCTGGTGTGTCAAAATTATTCCGGTTTGTTCAGACGTCCTCGTGGAATGTATTTCAGCGCCAAGGACAAGGGAGAGATGATGTCCATGATCTATAATTGGCCTGCTCAACACGTATGTCCTTTAGTCAATTCATTGCACATCAGCTATTATCATTCTTTACTTTTTAAATTTTCCAAGTTGAAGTCTGGTATCTTGCTCAATTTTTTTTTAAAAATTTGTTTTCTAATTTTAATGTACAGCAGAATTAGAACATATCTAACACATTGAATGGTCTCTGATATTTCTCAAACTACCTGAGCACGAAGTAAATGATTGCTTGGTGGATAGTAGAAGATAAGGTAATAGTGGTAGTATCACTTTCCATGTCTTGCTAATTACTCATGCAATTGCAGGTTGATATGATAGTCGTCACAGATGGCAGCCGAATTCTCGGTTTAGGAGATCTTGGAGTTCAGGGAATTGGCATACCTATTGGGAAACTTGATGTATATGTTGCTGCTGCAGGAATGAACCCACAGAGGGTATGACTATGATACTTCTGTTCAATTATATCTTCTCCATATCCTGTTTTATACCTTATCTTGATATGTGTATAAGTCAATTTTAAACTTTTAACTTTTCATTTTTAAAAGGTACTTCCAGTTATGCACGATGTGGGTACTAACAACCAAAAGCTTCTGGAAGATCCTCTCTGTAAGTAATAACCAATAGACTCTGTGCTCTATGATCTTCTTTATATAGATATTATGTTGCATGCAGTGTCTACTTTGTTCTCAGTTATTATCTGCTGGGAAGTTCAGTGGTATAGTGTTCTGATGTGTTTTTGCAATGTTACACAAATTATTTCTCAATATTATATTTTGGAATAGTGATGTATTACTTCTTTGGTAAAAGTACATGACAACACATATGCAGCTAATAGTCACTTACCTAGTGAATACCTGGGACTTTTGGTCTTGTAGAATTGCCCTCCTTACTGAATGATTTGTTCTATCTCTTTAATAAATATCATTGGACATTTGAATTTTTAATTGTTCGAAATCTGTGTCAGACCACTGCTTTCTAATTTTTAACTGTATTCTAACAATTGATCTCCTTGTATGGTAGACTTAGGACTCAGACAACCTAGGCTAGAAGGGGAAGAATATCTTTCCATAGTTGATGAATTTGTGGAAGCTGTTCATACACGTTGGCCCAAGGCTGTTGTGCAGGTCTGTTCTTTCAAGACTTAATGCAACTATTAAAATTTTATGCTGGTAACTTATTGTTAATATATATGGACAGTTTGAGGACTTCCAAATGAAATGGGCTTTTGAAACACTGCAAAGATATCGCAAAAGGTTGTGCATGTTCAATGATGACATTCAGGTAAATTCTTCGGTGATATTGCTATGTAATTTTAGTTTTGTAGTCAAAATGAGATATACCCTCCCTTAGCTAGGGGCTTTGTGATTTGTCAATTGTGAGAGGCATTGGGGTACAATTGTATTATGCAAAAGCAAGGATGATGTGCACTACATTTGAAGTCTATATGTTATATCTGTAAAATATTTGAAGCTCTAATTATGCTGTTGCTACCTTTTTGCAGGGAACTGCAGGTGTTGCTTTGGCTGGGTTATTGGGTGCTGTGAGAGCACAAGGCCGTCCATTGACTGACTTTATAAAACAGAAAATAGTTGTGGTTGGAGCTGGGAGGTAAAAATGTGATATTGCATTTCTATAATACAGGACTGATCATTTATTGTTATAGAACTTTTAGCCTTTTAGGTAGTAATATTTGCAATGATGTATTCAGTGCAGGGATTGGTGTCCTTAATATGGCAGTGCAGGCAGTTTCCAGGATGGCTGGGGCAAATGGGCTCCCATCTGATCATCAATTTTACCTAATAGATAAAGATGTAAGTTTTTTTCACTTGCCTGATGCAGGATATATCTCATTGCAAATATTGTGTCTGCAAAATAATTGCAATTGTTTGGCTAAAATTATGTACCTGCATCCTTTCAACCCTACACCCCCACCCCCATACTTTTGGGCCATTTTGGGGACACAAGCTGACCATGTGCTAAGCTAGTCAAGAATAAAATAGACATTGCAATTGTATAATTAACATTATCTACCTGTCCCCCCCCCCCCTCCCTCTCTCCCATCCACAAGCCTTGTCAGCAGTATTGTCAATAGTATAGTTTGCAATTTGGATTTCTGAATTCATCTAGCATTCATATGAATGACCTGTGCTCCCTGCATTTATCTATTAATTTTCTTACTGCAGGCACCAGATATCTGTTGATATCTTTATTAGTGCAATTGTGCAAAGGTGAAATTTTTTTACCTTTTGTGGTTGGGGAAAATGGCCTTTTGTGGATGGGGAATGTTTCAATGGCTGACATTTTTTTTTTTTTTTTAATTTGTATTTCTATACTCCACAAATTTCCGTTGTGCTTGCAGCTAGACTTCCCATGTACTATGCTGATCTGTATTTGCGAAAATCTATTCCAGTTTTCCACCTGGACATTGCTTACCACCAATATGCTTAATAGTTTCATGTTTTCTTTTGTCTCTGAATAATTCTCAAGTGATGGTAGAAATTTCAGTGAAGGGCAATGTTAAATGAGCACTCTGTACCATTCTGCTTGATTGTAATTCTATACATTGCAGGGGCTAGTAACGAAAGAGAGAAAGAATTTAGACCCATCTGCTGCACCCTTCGCAAAATATCCAGAAGAAACCAAGGGGCTTATGGAAGGAGCTAATCTAGCAGAAGTGGTAAATCTTGTTTTCATGCTTTTCAGAAATATCACTTTGTAAATTCTGCTGCAATAAGAAACACAGGAAGTTAGCTATGAATTGAAGCCTTCATGTGCTTCCATATCTTCTAGATATATTGATTTCGAACACTTAAATTTCAGGTTAGAAAGGTTAAACCAGATGTGCTTCTTGGTTTGTCTGGAGTTGGTGGCATCTTCAATGAAGAGGTGAGCCTATCATAAGGTCTTTTGAATTTTGTAGTAGGACTGAAGTGGAGTAATGAGTCAATGGAAAATTCCTTCTGATCTCATCTTATTTATCATGAGATGTGAAAGGATCGAAAATCACATCTCTGAGATGGTTCCTGAGATATTATTGTTTTCATGTTGGAAACAAATGTGATGCAAGATGTCTTTTAGTTGCATTATGAAACTCAGTGGGTTTCCTAGACCTCGAGGCACTTTCTGTATCAAGCCTTGACTTCTTTATAATTCTTGACTCAGGTGCTGAAGGCCATGCGAGAATCAGACTGCCCTAGACCTGCTATATTTGCCATGTCAAACCCTACGATGAATGGTTGGTCCTTTCCACCCATGTCCCTGCTGCATTTTTATATTTTATTTTATAAAAAGTGTCTAAAACTTTTTTCAATGAACAGCTGAATGTACTCCTGCCGATGCTTTCAAGTATGCCGGAGAACACATTGTTTTTGCAGGTGGAAGTCCCTTCCAGAATGTAGACCTTGGTACGCATGGTTCAGCCATTTGCATTTTTTTTGATATGTTGGTTTACTCTACATGAAAATTTTATTTTCTTTGTATTGGAATGTTATGCTGTGTTTGACTGTAGTTGCTGCCATCTGTGATTGCAGGGAATGGAAAAGTAGGTCATGTCAATCAAGCGAATAACATGTACCTGTTTCCTGGGTGTGTGACTGTGATTCATCTTTAGTTTCTTATGATACATAAATTTGACCTATGAGACTGCAAGTTGCTCAAAAATTTGACTGTGATTTATTGAACTTTTGCATATAATTCAGGATTGGATTGGGAGCATTGCTTTCAGGTGCTCGCTTAATAACTGACAACATGCTGCAAGCTGCTGCTGAATGGTAAATGAATAAACATATCATTCTTTCAACAAGTAAAATGGCATCTTTCCTAAGCTAAGTCAGACCGCTAGTGCTCCCTTCTTAAAAAGTTTGTGCTTTATGGTCCACATTCATCAGGCAATACTTAAGCAAATAGTGTTCCAAGTTCTGCTGTTCTATGTGTGATAAATACAAGTATATAACCTCTACATTACGGCAACTCACCCACCCTGCCACGATTTCACCCCTGCAAAATTATGGATTTTTTATGCTGAATAGTGTTCCCAATATCAGGTCTTTGTTCCCTTGACTTCATTTGCTCTCCACTGGTCAGCTAAAGAATCTCAATACCCTTTTATTTGTCTTGCAAGACAGGGAATAACTCTTATCAATTGTGTTAGTACTTGATTATGTTGCTAGGCTGCTCAAAATCCATGGCATATGCTTGATATGAAGCGTGCATAATTGGTATTGCTGAAGAGGTTAGCATGATCGTTAGCATAGTTAGTCCCACTACATGTTAATTGTTGGTTTTTCTGCAGTCTTGCTATCTACATGTCGGACGAGGAAATAAGCAAGGGTGTTTTGTATCCATCAATTGGGAGGTTAGCACCTCATTTGCTTAGAGCTTCATTCCCCGCACCCCAAAACATTACGATTGTTTATCGTCTGTAGAAATACAATGTATGACATTTAACGGTCTAACCAATGTTATTAAATTCAGTATACGAGAAATTACAGCAGAAGTTGGAACTGCTGTACTGCGAGCAGCAATTGCTGAAGACCTAGCTGAAGGACATGGTGAAGTGGGGCGGAAAGAACTCAGGTGTATGTCAGAGGTAAGATTATCACTTGCTACTTATCAGCACCTATACCAGCTGAACCTGTATAGTATTTCCTCTTGGATTTCTTGGGGAGGCTCCCTGTCTTCCCTCTGCTTAGCTTTTCCTTTTCTTTTTTTATAGTTCAGTTACCAAATTATCTCTCTTTTCAATTCTACTTTTAAATGAAATGGATGCATGAGAAACATAATTTAATGTTTAGTGGTAGAATTTTTTTGGTCATCTCAACATATACCATATGCCAAAAAAAAAAAAAAAGGGAACCTCTCTCCTGAAAATTACATAATGTGTTTGCCAATCATTACTGCTGCCATTGTAACTGGTATTGATCAAATGCAGGAAGAGACTGCGGAATATGTCAGACGGAATATGTGGTTTCCCATCTACAGCCCTCTTGTACACGAGAAGTGAGGCCACGACGATCAGCCCCTTCATCTGCTATATCAGTTGGACAGTCCGTTCTGGCTGAAAACTGTAAAACTGTCTCAGAAGACAGTATTGTTGCAAATTGGAACAGAAAAAATGTAGAATCATAGAAATGGGGAGTTGTGAAAATTTTTGCCATCTTCATCTGTTTGAACTGAAACTGTTGAAACTAGGATCCTCCCTTGTATAGAATTATATCTTCAGGTTGGGTCCATTTTACTTGAAATCATTTGTATGCAGATGCAGTGCATGGTAGCTTCCAACTGATTCTTGCTTTGCTTTTTAACTGACTATTATACATTAACACTTAATATATTTTCGGTACTTCGGTAGGATATATATGGTATTATGGGGTGTTTAGAGTCTGTGTATGGATCTGTGTTTATCATTCAGGTGAAATGTGATGGAATGCTGATGATTTATTTTAACTATTTTTCGAGTACTTCTCAAGTAGGCAAGCACTCACTCAACCCTACAACAAAGGCCACATTTTTATTTAAAAAGGTCATCTCAAATTAATTGGCTCAGGTAATGTGATTGGTAAAGGACTATATGGTATCATGGAATCATGGTATGTTAGCTCCTAACCAGCGAACCTCGATTTATATCAAAAGATGGCTATGCAAAGAATCAAGCTTGTTGTAAATATGAATTGAATGATTCATTACTCCAATAGACCTAGATCACCAAATTAGATGACTAAATTGAATATCTATATTCGACAACAGTAACTAGATTAATTGAGAATCATTGTTTTGTGTGTCTCACTCTTGTCCTTTTCTTTTATTCCTTCTCCTTATTTATTTTTTGTGAGCACCAACTAAGCAAGAAGAACACTACGTGTAAAACTCATCACCAAGTACTAAGGCAGACAATTCGGATATCACTTCTTGGATTTGGTAGGTAATACTAGAACAACCTCAACCAATAAAAAAGTAGTGATGTGAAAGAACTTAAAATCCCTACACACTTGTTTGTTACTATTTTCTAGAGAGTTAGAAACTAATTCCTACTCCCTCCGTCCCTTTATTTTTGCCCCATTGTCATTTTTTGGGTCAAACTTTGAAAATTTTGACCATAATTTACCGTTAATCTATATAAGATAATATAGTCATGAGTGGTCTTGTTAGATTTGTCTCATTGTATATTTTATTAATATCATGTTTTTATAATATTAACGTATATGGAAATAAAGATATAGAAGTTTTAAAACGCGTCTTAGAGACCGCGCACAGTCAAATGGGGCAAAAAATTGGGACAGAGAGAGTACTAATTTAGGATTCTTGACTATTTCATTTGATTGCATAAATCAACTAATGAACAATTGGTGTATTATATACAACAAATTTTACCATCCCAAATCAAGACTTTGTTATGTGATTTAAAGTGAGCATGCGAATGGCACATTCACAAAATCACACTATTACTCAATATAAACTTGTTTTAATTAACTAATAAAAGACAACAAAAAATAAAATGTAAACTATATGTATACCCGAGTGTATAAAAAAAATTACCTTGATTAAAAGTGCTAAGCATCCTTTAAAATGAATAAGAGCCCACAGTATTGACAATTGTCATGAAACGACAGTTATAGTCACATTATTGGCCACCCCAATATCCATAGTCCATCCAATACCAAACCTAAGGCAATATTAGAGACCTCAGACCTTTAACACAGCAACACTATTTTGTTCAGGAAAAAAAAATGGCTGAACCATCCAACTTTCTGGCTGAAAAAAGGTCCTGGCCTCTATATTTTCTCTTTGTTGATTACATTTGCTAATAAATTATTCTTTTATCTTGTATAATTTATAATCTGGATTTGTTGGTGGATTATGCAGATATGCAGTGGTAACAGGAGCAAACAAAGGAATAGGGCTAGAAATATGCAGACAGCTTGCTTCCCAAGGAGTTGTTGTACTTCTAACATCAAGAGATGGAAAGAAAGGATTAGAAGCCCTTAATGATCTCATTAAATCCGAAATAAGCGCCGATAATCTTCTTTATCATCAGCTTGATGTTACTGATACCATGAGTATTGCTACTCTTACTGGTTTCATCAATTCCAAATTTGGCAAGCTTGATATACTGGTAATATTGACTTACTTGTTTATGTTAATTTCAATACGTATTTCAACTATTTAGGATAAGGTTGCGTACCTCTGATCTCTATAGACCCTGTAAGTTGATGTATGTGTGCTTTTTATAGAGGTAACTCAAGTAATTAATTAGCACAATATATTAGATCTATTATATTAATACGAGGTGGTATTATTGGATAATGAAAACCTTTTTAATTTCAATACGTATTTCAACTATTTAGGACAAGGTTGCGTACCTCTGATCTCTATAGACCCTGTAAGTCGATGTATGTGTGCTTTTTATAGAGGTAACTCAGTAATTAATTAGCACAATATATTAGATCTATTATATTAATACGAGGTGGCATTGTTGGATAATGAAAACCTTTGGCATTTGTAGGTGAACAATGCTGGGACTAATGGAATTAAGGCTGACTTTGATGCTTTAAAAGCAGCAGGTTTTGGCACTGTAAGTATTCTCTGAGATAGGATTTTCTCTTTGTTTTAGAATGGATTAGGGATTATTTATGTTCAATAACACCCCTTTCCGGTAAAAGATCAAGTCTTGGAAATGATCGTCTCAAATTAACTTATTGTGAGACACGTGTACGTGTAACTAAATATAACCCTTGAAAAAGTAAATAAACGTCATCCATGACACTGAAAATTACCCTATTCTCACAATAAGTCGTGTAAGATCATCTCATACAAGACTTTGCCACCAATAAAAAAGTTACCTAGAAAGTTTTTTTATGATTGCGGTGATGTTTTTGATAACCGAAGTAATGTAATAATGTAGCCAGGAGCAAAGTTCAATTATGCTGAGATGATGACACAGACATATGAACTCGCAAAAGATTGCTTAGAAACAAACTACTATGGAGTAAAGAGAACCACTGAAGCTTTGCTTCCTCTCCTCGAGTTATCGGACTCACCAAGGATCGTCAATGTTTCCTCTGCTATGGGGAAGTTAAAGGTATAGATTTCTTTTTTGCATATAAAACATCATCTGCTGAGTAAAATATTCATCGATTAACTCGTACTTTTCTTTTTCACTCAGAATATACCAAATGAGAGAATCAAAGGAGTCTTAGGTGATGCTGATAACCTTACAGAAGAACAAGTAGACGATCTTCTGAACGAGTTACTGAGAGACTTTAAAGATGGTACATTCAAAGAGAAGGGCTGGCCTTCTACAATGGCAGCCTATATAGTGTCAAAGGCGGCTTTGAACGCATATACAAGAATATTGGCTAAGAAATACCCGTCAATCATTATCAACTGTGTTTGTCCTGGCTTTGTTAAGACAGATATCAACGGAAACTTGGGACATTTAACAGTTGAAGAAGGCGGTGCAAGTCCGGTGAGATTAGCATTGGTGCCTCATGGTTCGCCTTCTGGTCTTTTCTTTGTAAGAAATGAAGTTTCTTCATATGAATAAACGAATTACATGTTCAAATTCAAATCGATTTCAGATCAAGTGTTTGTTACCATTGGAACTCATTGATCACACTAGTACAAAATGTATGTACACTACAACAAGTGCATGAATATTTCACATGACTTATTACTCGAATATGATCTGGATCAAGATGACAAACTCGAATTGAAATCTAACTTTTGCTACCTATAATTGACATTCAAAAGCAATAGAAATTAAATTTATTGAGTACTGCTGTTTTGTAACTTTTGTTTGTCTGTCTTTTTCTTTTATTCCCTCTCTTATTACTCTATCCGTTTCATACTTTCGGTCGTTTCATAATAATTGTAACACTACTATATTTGGCAAAGACTCACCATTATTTTATAATTTCTTTCCCACTAATCTCACTTTCACAAATATTTTATTACTTTTCTTTCTTACTAACCCCACTTATACTACAATTTTTTTTTTTTAATTTTTTTAATTTTTAATTTTTATTATTATTGTTATTATTATTTCTCTCTCCTATCAACCATTATATTATAAAAAAAATCTTCTTTTAGGCTCCATCCTATAAATTTTCTTAAACTTTGTGAACACCCTAGTAGTCGATTTGTACTTGTATATTACTTCTTGATTTGGTAGGTAATACTAGAAAAACCCGAAAAAAAAAAAAAAAAAGAGTTGTGGTCAACGACTTTTCACAAAAGAGAAAAAAAAGTTGCGATGATTTGTCAAAAACACAAGAAAAACTTTGTGATATGGTAGAACTTGGAATCTCTATATTTGTTTCTTACCTAATATTTATTCAGAGAATCGAAACTAATTCCCACTTATTTAAGGACTTCTTGAATATTTTAATTTTATTTGTTTTTTATACTGTAAGAAGAAGACCCTTGATCAGATTTCAATCATCATTTCAATTTGATTGTAGATAACATCAACTTAATTGTACACAACGCCTGAGCCAATTAGCGACCGTGCTTGTATTGTATACAATGGTACTATCCAAAATCAAGAACTTTATGCAATCTAAAGTGACTTTATGAATACTACAATAAGGAAAAATTGAGCCTCAACTATATAGTATATCGGTATAATAAAAAAATGGCGTTGTAAATAGAGATAGAAAGAGTCCATATTATTAATATGTAACGGCAATTATAGTCAAATTATTGGCCCCCCAATATCCATCAAATACCAAACATAAGGCAGAATAAAACTCAATATAAAGAGACCCAACACAGCAACACTAATCCTGTTCAGGGGAAAAAAATGGCTGAACCATTCAACTTTCTTGCTGAAAAAAGGTCCTCTAAATTTTTCTTTGTTACTTACATTTGCTAATGAATCATTTGTCTGGATTTATATTCTGGGTTTGTTTGTGGATTATGCAGATATGCAGTGGTAACAGGAGCAAACAAAGGAATAGGGCTAGAAATATGCAAACAGCTTGCTTCCCAAGGAGTTGTTGTACTTCTAACATCAAGAGATGGAAAGAAAGGTTTGGAAGCCCTTAATGATCTCATTAAATCCGGAATTAGCGCCGATAATCTTCTTTTTCATCAGCTTGATGTTACTGATGCCATGAGTATTGCTACTCTTACTGGTTTCATCAACTCCAAATTTGGCAAGCTTGATATACTGGTACTATTGACTTAATTACATGTTTATGTTAGTTTTAATACGTATTTCAAATATTTAGGATAAGGTTGCGTACATCTGATCTCTATAGACCTTGTAAGTCGATGTATGCTCTTTTTAATTGTTTTAATCGTAGGTGAACAATGCTGGGACTAGTGGATTTAAGGCTGACTTTGATGCTTTAAAAGCAGCAGGTTTTGGAACAGTAAGTATTCTCTGAGCAAGTACTGTTTCTTTGTTTAATAACCCCTGTTTCCAGTGAAAGAGCAAATCTTGGAACTGATCATCTTAAACCAACTTATTGTGAAACACGGAGTAACTAAGGGTAACCCTTAAATTAGAAGTAATCTCTAAAGTGATAGTTCATTCAAAGAGAAGGGCTGGCCTTCTTTTATGACAGCCTATATACTGTCAAAGGCAGCTTTGAATGCATATACACAATTATTGGCCAAGAAATACCCGTCAATCATCATCAACTGCGTTTTCCCTGGCTATGTTAGTACAGATATCAATGGAAACACGGGATATTTAACAGTTGAAGAAGGGGGCGCGAGTCCAGTGAGATTAGCATTGCTTCCCCATGGTTCACCTTCTGGTCTTTTCTTTTTAAGAAATGAAGTTTCTTCATATGAATAAAAGGAATTACATATTCATAACTGATTTCTGATGAAATGGTTGTTAGTTTGTTACCACTGGAATTCTACAAAAATGAATGTAAACCATAACAAATGTATGCATATTTAATATTTTACATTACAGATCTGCAAGTTTTCCATTCAAGCTTATCCCACAACAGCTTTTGGCATGCTGTCTTGTAACTTTGTGATACTTGCTTGTAAATTTTGTCTGACTGCAAACATAACAGTCTATATGTTGTTTACACAGGTAATTAATCAAGGAAACTAATAAGAACACCCTTATTTCTGTTCTTTCATGGCAGTGTAAGGATTGGGTCTAAACAACACAAACCATGGTTTGGTGCACCTAGCAACACCTCCTTTGACTAATAGCCAATTTAACATGAACTAAGGTAAATGGTGCAATAAGTGTCACAAATGACACCCTACAACCCCTTCTCTAGTGGATTTTAGGGTCGCTAGTGTAATTAATGACACATGTTGTTCGCCATAGTTCATGTTGTTTTGGCTATTAGTAAAAGGTAATGTTGGGTGCACCAAGTCGTAGATTGTGCTTTTAAGGCCAATTTTGCCTAAATTGAATGATTTCATACGGAGTACAATAGTTGAATGACTGTATAATGAATTGATCCAATTCGCATTTTTCCATAGGTTTACTGGTACATTGTCCCTGGTTCTCATTGTTTAATAGTGATCACACTTTGACCAAAAATATTAAAGTCACAGACTACGGAAGAGAATGTAAAGAAATGGAGACTGAAAACTGAAACTTCAGCTTCCAATTGTAACATTGATTCTGGCTTCAAAGTGGTCTATCCCTTTCATGGTCTGCAATTTCTTGTTCCGTAAAATTGAAACCTGCATGAAGCAAATTATGAAGTAAATTTTGCAAGAACCTGCATGAACCTACCATGAAGTAAAAATGCTACGCAGCAATTTTCATTTCTTGCCAATAATGAATAATTGAATCCTGCTATCTTTTTCACTAGCTATATAACCATGAAGCATGTAACTGCTTTGAACAGTGGCAGATCATTGGTCAAGGGTTGATAACAAGTAGACAGTCGGACTATAGGAAAATTATCACTAAAAGTAGGTATATCTATAATATATTTTTTTTTGAGGAAACGGTATATCTAATACTATCTTCAACTGTTCTGGGCCTTAGACAATCAATTATCAATGTACATCACCTAAGGAAATCCAGGAAAAGGTAGAAAACAAGTAGCTCACCCAAACTCCCCAATCCCAGGCCCTGCCCTTGGATCAGACGAAGAATATATGTGATATAGGTGAAGCCATGAAGGAATTACACAACACAACACTCAAAGCTAAAATGGGTTATATCAAAGTAGCAGAAGGATCAATCAAACCACTACACAATAGGTTACATTAACCTATCAGAGACTTTCGCATCACATTTAAATGCGGCATTAAAATGGAAAATTATGCATAAGCAGCTGTATGCCATGCCAAAAAAAAAAAAAAAAAAAAAAAAGATACCTTTGGCTTTGCCAATGAGCTTCCAAAGTATCCTATCCCAAATGACTGTGATGAATATCCAGCAGCAATCTCCACTGCTTTCAGCTCTGGTGTATTATTAGGACCCTGGAACAGTTATATCAAAACAGTTTAAAGACATAAAAACAATTCAATAGGAGGAAAAGAACAACTATAAGAACTAAAACAAGTTCCAAAAGGGAAGGATTTGGCCTCTGGCTCAGGTAGTTACCACCAAAGGAGCATCAGCTTGGACGAGGAGGATCCCAGCACTGCCATCGGCATCCTGTTGTGTACCAGCCTGAACTACCAAACGAAGAATTTTGATACAAGCAAAAGCCGGACCTGCCTGTGACCTGTTATTAGATGGACCGATTCAATCATCAATTGAGGAATTGGCCCAAGGATGTTATTTTCCCAGAAATTTGATGTGATTTTTTTTTAACAAGGATCATAAATCAAGATAGAATATACTCCAAAAAAGCCACCAATGAGGTGGGCAAGAATAAGCAACACCTAGAGTCTCCAACACAGCAATTATGGGGTGGGATATGATCTGGCACTCAAACTGGCAGTCATAACAATCAAAGTGTGGACCAACTTAAAAAGACTACTTTCACAAGCAACTTTTACTACTTCCCAACAGAAAGTTGTCCAAATTGCTAGCATAAGCCTGTTATTAGGAATAAAGCAGACTAAAATAGAACACAGGCACATCTGGTCTACAAGTAAAATGGCTAGCCAACAATAGTAGTGACATTATTGAAAACAACAATAAAGAAAGAATGAAAGAAAAAGAGCCAACATTTGACCTCTTGAATATGATATATTATTAACCACGCATTAGATTCGATGTGAAAGCAACTGCAAGTCTTCTAGAGAACATACTAAAAGATAACTGCTACATGCTAGCTCATCAATATTCAAGCTATGGACAAAAAAAAGGTCAAAATATAGTACAATGACAATGACGTGCAGCATTCCCTGGCGGCAAAAGCTCTCATCAAATACTCTCCTGCTCCAGTAGTGCAACAACCTACAAGAAATGGAGCTCCAAAGGGTCCTTTCGAGGATGCCCAACAACCAGAGCCATACATGCCTGCTAATCCTACTCGTCCACTCACCTATAAAGAGAAAAGACCTCAATATCACTTTAATTAAAATATTATTATGTACTATTTATGAAGAAAAAGCAGTAGGAAAGGGAAAAAACATTGCTATTATACTGCTTATAATAAGCAATTAAAAAAAAAAAAAAAAAAAGGGAAGACCAACTGTGAATTCATCCACTCAAGTCAGAAACAAATGATACCTAAATAGTCTTTTTCTTCCATCAAGCAATAGAATATTCCCTATGTGCTATAAAACATATGGAAAATCCAGCTTTTTAGGAGCAACATCAATAAATGAGTTTTCCTTTTCATATGTACTTCTGATTTACAGGCAAATACACACAAAACAACACAACACAGACAGACACATAACACAAGGCATTTAATCAATCTCCTCCTTTTCATAACATGGGGCACCCACACTTCTTGAGGCTGAATTAAAATATTCAATGCACAAGGGGAAATTCTGGGGAAAATCTGGGGAAAATCCTAAGACACACAGATGCACATAAAATAATACACAAGTCAAACCTACACAAGAATGTTGGCATGGGAATGCTGGTACCCAATATTGTGTTCATCAGTTAAAGATCAAATTACAAAGTTACAGACCACGCCATACATTTATAGCTTGATTGTAGCCTCGTAAGAAGAAGCCACATCTCAAGAACTCGGTTCATTATGGAGTTGATAAGGATGGAAAAAATCTTACACTTAGTACTTGTAATCTCTTAATGCTTCACTGTGCCACCAATCAAAAGGTGAGAATCTGGCAGAAACTAGCAGCCTGAGGTTTCAGCTCTATCCTGTCAATTTTATTGAACTTTCCCAACTGTCTCTTTTAGTGTAATTCTTTGATGTAGGAATAATAGGTTCTACATTTGATAGTCTAAATTGTTATACTCACTCACAGCACACCAGGAAAGTGAGAGGTGAAACAAGGAGATCCACACTCAGTATATAGTGCAGCAAACACTAAATGAAGAATAATTCAATTGAATTAGCTACTTTATCATACATTTGTTTCTCTGGTGCAGGAATTTAAGTGGGATCAGGGATGGGATTGAGTAGAACTGAAAAAAGAACCAGCTTAACTGAAGATGGATTGGATGACCGAAAGAAGCAACTCCAAATTCAGTACCTTCATTGCAATACCACCACTGGAGGCTCCAGAGGCAACGTGTCCAACACGATCAATACATATGACTCCAATGGTGTCCATGATGCAGTCTTCTTCTATTGCCCCCAATGTAGAGGACTCAACATCCTCAACCCCTACAAAGGCATCACTAATATAAGCTTCCACATCTAGAGCACAAATCAGTACTGTTTGTAGAAAAGACTTACCATATAATAACTCTTTTTTCTGAGATCTACTGCTAGGAAGTATTGCTCCTATCTGTGTCTTGGCAGCATCAAGCATTGCTTTATACTTGAACCATTGTAATCTGGTTCTTTCAGTCACTAACCACTGTATCCATAAGATGAAAAGTCACGCTATACACAATCCAGAACCAGAGAAAATATCCATTTTTCCGAGATAGAAACTATTTTTAGGTGGTAGAGGGAAGAACCTTTTCAGCCTCTGTTACTGTGTCAGCACAGGTAATGCTCTTTGATTTTGCCCACTTATGAGCACCTTCACCAACTAAGAAGCTGCAAAAAGACCAAATATTAAACATCTCAAAAACAATTCAAATGAGATTAGCCCTTATTGCTCATTATATACAATGTAAAAGACCAGAGACACCTCTACACACTAAACAGCATAAGGGAGACTATTTTTTCTAATTTTGCTAGATGGAGAGGTCTTCTCCAATTCCTTTTTCCATACAGAAGGATCCCCCTTCATATCAAGCCCTTATTGCGATTCTTTCTGTTTCTTCTCTTAAAGACCTTTGAAGCCTTGATGATGGAGTTTGTGGGCATAGACAGCCAATACATATACAATGTGTAAGAATCTTTCAGACAGAGGATATAACTAGAAGCCACATATACAAGTCAAAATAGAGGATGACTTCCTGGCAGTGAACTACCCTATAGTGACCCCATATTCCATACTCTCTATTCGAACCATAGTTGATACCTAATACCAAATGGTCCCGATTAATTAATATTGAAAGCTTGAGTCATGCTCTAGAAATCTTATATGGCCTGCTTATAAACTTCCATACTGGACTGGAGAATACAAGTTCTAATAAAAGAAGACAAGTTGAAAATCATTACGTTGGTGGCATTCGGCCAAGCAATGAAGGTCCCATCTTTTGTTCCTTGATTAAGCAAGCAGCAACTTGGATGGGATTTCGAACACCTGATCTACAAAATAATGGAATGGATGAAAGAATAACAATCAGGAATTAAAAATGAATAAAAAATTGGACAACCTGGAAATGCCGAGTTCAGCATTTAGATACCTGGAACTGCTCCAACCGCAGCAAATGCCCCAGATTCACCATCTATGATGCTAGCATCACATTCAACATGGCCATCCTCTGTCAAATTTGAGCCACGGCCAGCATTTGTGCAGGGATCGTCCTTTAGAAAAGAAAATTAAGTAAATAATGGAAACAAAATGGAATAACCTGATGAATATATGCTTCTCCCATCTAGAAGGAATAACTCAATGAATATATTAGCATTAACATCAGAAACAAAAAGAATTTCTGATATGCTTTTTCCATAAGTTCAAACAACTTCATTAAGTAGACAATCATGTTGAAAAAGGGATATCTACCAAAACAAAAAGTTGGGTCTAAGAATACAGGACTTTGAGATAAATCAAAGTGTTATCAATCTTAACAATGGCATAAAGATGATGAATGAAGGATCTTAATATAATAAGCCCATTATTTCTATGAAAAACAAAGTAATTAACAATCCAATGGATGATCACGGGAAAGCATAGTTTAGAGTGCATTCTATTCACCTGATTTTCACTCATGTAAACTTATCAAAATTATAAATAATACTTTGCACTTGGTAACCTTTATCTGAATTTATTAACCCTTATTTGAACGTATTAGTCCTAATATAAGTGAAAATAAGGTGATCATAAAAGGGCCTCGATGGATTATAACTAGTATTCAATAGTCATTAGATGGTCCCTCCATTAAATAGAACGTTTGGAAAAGGATGCATAGCCACACACTAGAAGAAATCCTCAAAGTGTTTGTGAAAACACAGAAATAAGCAAGATTACCTCCAAAACTCGAATCGCTGCTTCAACTGCATCAACACATATACCAGAATCCTAAGTCGAATTCGAGAAAGAAGAATTAGTTCCAATGGCACTAGCATAGAAAATACTCTGTATTTCACAAGAATCCATTTTCAATAACCCTTTATCCTATAAAATCAAACCCTTGTTCCATAAATCAAAAATCCCAAATCAAACCAATCATGCACTGGCAGATATAACGAAGTGTAAGACTTGAACATGTCACACGATATCATATCCAATTGTTCCCCAAATGAAAAATCATCTCAACATAAAATTATGAATAGAATTCAAAGTTGAAATATAGTAGAAACTAAACCATAGTAAAAGCTAAAAAGAAGCAACATGTTGAATGATGTAAAAGAGGAAGAAAAAAGAAGAGAGAAAGAGGAAGATGTAAAACCATGCGAAGAATGGTAGCAGCGGCAAGGCAAGCTCGATTCATGGCGGATCTGAGAGCCTTCTCGTTGGAAGGAGCATGAAATCCGGCGCCGACATGAACTGCCACGAAAAATGGGGAACTTCCTTCTTCCTTCTCCACTTCCGCCATACTTGCTCTTTGCTCTTTACAGTTTGAGCGCCAGGATTTTGCATCTACTCCTTTCGTAGGCATCGTTGCCCCATTTACCTTTTTGGACCCTTGTTCAGTTGATACTTGTTCCTATGCCCGGGTTTGAAATCATGAATGAAACTAAAATGAATGAATTAATTTGGACTATACATACTTAACATAGTGTACGTGTTCGATTTTTATTCAAAATTGGAGTACTCCCTCTGTTTCGCATTAATTGCAACAGTAGGCTTGACTCATAGTTTAAGAAATTATAGACTAGGCTTATAAGCTTATAATATAAAGTATTGTTAGAAAGAGATAGAAATAATAAAAAAAATAGTGTGGGTGGGGTTGTTAAGAAAGAGAAATAGTAAAATATTTGTGAAAGTAGGGTTAGTGGGAGAGAGAAATTATAAAATAATAGTGGGTCATTTCTAAATATAGTAGTGTTGCAATTAATATAAAATAGCCGAAAATAAAAAGTGTTGCAACTAATACAAAACGGAGGGAGTAATTTTTATACAATGGGTTTGGATTTGAAAAAAAAAAAAAAAAAAAAAAAAAGGTTTATGCTCTTTATACTTTTGCCTCCCCTTATGTTTTAAAACCTCGTGCCTTGTGGGGGTAGATAGTAGTGGGGAAGAATCGTGGGCACCCAAAATCAAAATCAGAACTACCGTAGTTAGGGATTGGCAGGATTGACATTGGAACAAGTGGTTTCGGCCTTTCGAGGGTTTACAACGATAATCAAATGAAGTTACCTTGATGGATAAAGGATTACCATGATGGAAAAATGGATTATTCTTGTAAACAAGTAGAGTTAATATTTTGATAGTTAAAATAAAAGAAGAGGGATTACTCAAATGAACAAAATGGATTACTCACACGCAACACGGTTTTCATTTGTAAATCCCTATGCTGTTATCAGATATATGACATTCTTTGAAACGGTTATCATGGAATCAAATTTTGTATTACAACAAACAGATTTAGCAGGAAGAAGAATTGCATATGCATCCAACCAACATGTATTGGGCAAATGTTGACAAGGGGAGATGGAGTTAAACCTACAGGAACCTCTACTTCTTGGCAATTGGGAGCAATAAGGTGCCCCAAATGATTATCGATTGTGTTGCTTATCTTGGATTGTTATTTGTTGCTGTAACAGTGACGATTCCTACGTCTTTGTGAAAGCCACACTTAAGGGGGCAAAAATAAAGTGTAGCAAAGCAATTGGGCTAACATGTAAATTGCTTTCTACCTTCCTAACTAAAACTATCAACACTATTATCAGTTGAAATTGTGCATCCTTTTTGCTGAGCTGAGAGTATTTGAAAGAAGCATAGCAATGGTCATTGGACCAACACCTCCAGGAACAGGGGTAACAGCAGAAGCAACCTTGACAACCTCGTCATAGCAAACATCTCCAACTAATCGATATCCTCGAGGACTTGCTGGATCCTGTTGTTGCATATGAAATCTTAGCAAAAAGATTTGACACTATCTCAAACTGACAAACTAAAATTTTAAAATGTGTTGTTGGTATAAGTTCTATTGATTTAAATTAGGATTATTAGTGACACTTCCTAATTTAAAATTACGATGTGCCCATAAGAAGGTAGTTGAGCACATAAGTTGCTCCGGGTTTACCTCAACTGGATTGATCCCAACATCGATGATAGCAGCACCAGGCTTGATCCAGCTACCCCTAACCATGTTTGCTTGTCCTACAGCAGAAATGATAATATCTGCTTCTTTTATAATATCCTCGGGATTGTTTGTTCTAGAATGAACTATAGTAACAGTAGCATCTTCCCTCTGCAAACAGTAAGTGTTCTAAAGGTCATATCGGATAGAAAGAAATGTTCGACAAAAAAAGAATTGATCGATTTCATGCAGATATGAAAAATATGAACTAACACTTATAATTTACCTGAAGCAAAAGAGCAGCTGGCATCCCAACTATATTACTGCGGCCAATCACAACTGCCTTTTTCCCTTTTATTTGAATTCCATATCTATGCAACAGCTCAATACATCCTTTGGGTGTACATGGGACAAACAAGGGTTCCCTACCACGCATTGCAAGACGGCCAATGTTCAAAGGGTGAAATCCATCAACATCCTTTTCAATTCCAACAGCATTCAAAATTTTCTCCTCATTCATATGCTGCAAAAAGCATATATATATTTTTTCTATCAGCATATACTGGTAAAAAAGTTAGTAAATTAGACAGCCACCTACATGGATGCCTTATCATTGTAGTACACAATACATAGTCAGCATCCTTTTAAAAACCAATTATTGAGTAATGGAGCAATAAGCCTTATTTCTTTAAGTGAAAACATCTTCCCACGTAAGTTTATGTTTAAGAACCAAATTATTGAGTAATGGAGCAATAAGCCTTATTTTCACTGTAGTGGATTTAGTGGCTGCAAGAACAAATTTCTACTGAAAATTTCTACATAATTAGGACAACACAAGTAGGTACAATAGTGAAGAACTGCATTTTACCAAGTAACAAATACCTTAAGCAGCATCCATCTTGTGATAAGGTATTATAGTTACACTACTACTTCACAACGAATTAACATGGAACATGATAATACTGACAAATTAAAGCAATCCTTTTTTAATTTATTCCCAACAAAGCAACAGCAGGAAAAGCTTTAGTATTATGATATAATATCAACATAAACAGAAGAAAATATGTGGGACAGGAAGAATCAATTCATTCCAAGAAGCATACCGAAGGCAGAGGTAACTGAACAAGTATTCCATGGACTGAAGGATCTTCATTGAACCTAGAGATAGAGTTGAGCACTTCCTGCTCTGTTGTATCTTCTGGCAAATGAACTTCAAAAGAATTAATCCCCACTGCATCACAAGCTTTCTTCTTATTACGAACATACGTTGCAGAGTCCTTTCTATCCCCAACAAGGATCACAGCCAACCCAGGAACAATACCGATAGCTTCTTTCATTCTTGCTATTTCGACACCTATCTCCTCCCTAATTTGCTTTGCCACCGCCTTACCATCAATAACTTTTGCAGAACTCTCGGTTGCAATTGTAGCTGTAATAGGAACTTACAATGAATCATTAAATGAAAATTTTAGAAGTATAAGTAAGTACAACATTTCAATTATCAACCAACATAATCACATAACACAACCAGAATTCTAAGTCAATGAAAATTGAAAAAATATAACTTGCAATACCTATATTTTTTTCCATTATTATTTTATTCTCAAGGAACAATGATATACAAACAGTTCAATTTAAACTATGAAATTCACCTACACATGAAATAAACACTAAGTAACATCTAAATTTTGGGAGTAAACAATGATAAAGTAAGCAAATTTGATGCTAAACCCCATCAAATTCCACAACCCCAAATCAAATTCAATAGGAAAACAAACACCAAACATAGGAAATCATCTCTGCAGAAAAAACTTCAATTAGCCTTAAAGCTGTTCGATGAAATGCGCCAGTGAATGACCAAAGGAATTACATAAAAAGAACAAAAACCCAGAATTAAAATGACGCAAATAAGCAATAAAAAGAAAAGGGATGATCTCAATTACAGAAATTTCCTCGTGAAAAGAAAGATTTACCTGAAACAGAAGTTGAGGAAGCACGAGGTTGGAAGGAGAGAGAAGTAAGAAAAAGCCTTGAGGAAGTGAGAGGAAAGAGACACCCGACGAGAAAAGAAAGAGCGGGGCAGCTTCGGTGGCAGCGGAGTGGAAGAAGGCGAGCAGTTGAACACTCGGAGAAAATCATGGAAGCCATTTATGGTGTTTTGTTGGGTTACAAGAAAGGTTCTGAGTAGCTTAAGAGTAGGAATTCTGTCGTAAGGTTTACTACTACTACCTGACTTTGGACTTCAGTCAGCGGAATTTGCAAAACCCCAGAACCGTAGGAAGAGAAAGATACGAATGTGTAGGCTGTTAATCGGTCAAAGACCGAACCGACCTGATCAAACCGAAGACCAAACCGATTAAATAGGGACCGAATTCAAACCGGACCGAAAAAACCAGCCCATAATCCAGTCCGGACCACTTTGGACTTTTTTTGAATTTTTTTAAAAAAAATTCTAAATTTTTAATAATTTTATGGAAAGCTCGAAAAATAATAAAAGAAAAACAATATTTTAATGTCTTTTTATATATGATTAGTACGAAAATGCTCATACAATTAAAGTTTTCTAAACTTAATAAGAATAATCTTAATAAATGTTTAAAGTTTTATACATAATTTTAAGCAAAAAATCAGTCCGACCTAAGATCAGTTTTTATAGGTTTTGAACCGGACCGGACCAAAAAATTATATTTCTCAACTCGGAGACCAGACCGGTTAATTCGGTCCGGTCCATTAAATCTATTAACTATTACTAAAATAAAACGTTGCTGACGTTATCACTGTCCACATTCACTCTCATAATAAATGTTTTCCCGCCTAAATGCAAGGATGATGCCATCTTTTTTTTTTTTTTTTGTGGAGCTACTATTCTTAACAATTTTGAAAAGTAGAAGCTTCTATGTACAACTACAACCTATCAATTTATCCTAAAAAAATGAAACAATTTACAAATAACACTAATAAATGGACTCCTACATTAAAATATGTATAAGGTGACGTTGAACAGGTATTATATCATAATTTTGATGAAAATCTAAACTTTTAAAATTACAAATATTTTTGTACAAGGTGCATATTTCTTATTTATATTTTATGTATAATATCCATTTTGTAAAAAGATGCGAATTATTAAAATATATTTTATACAAGTCGTACATCGCACGGTTTCTAACCTAGTAATACTAATAATTAGACACGTTTAGACCTATCAATTCTTAAGCCGACCCGAATCCAAACCTGAGTTACCGAGAGAGAACCCAAACCAAACAACTAGAAATCGATCAATTTGACCCTATTATCATATTTTGTAATGATCCAAATGACTCAACCTGAAATTAGACCCAAACCTAATCTGTTAACCCAATTGAAAAGTCTAGACACATTAGAATTTTACGTTTGCCTTTACTTTTATGTATTTTGTCAATTTGTGTGTATCAAGTTCAAATCACTGTCATGTTTCCTTAAACATTCAAGAGACTAGGGACCAAGCTTTGGAGTTGGTGGGGAACTCACCTTGTGACTCCACCAACTATATTCGCTGGGAGTAGAGGGATTCCCTTACCTCCCCTCTACTCTCAAAGTCTCAAGCATTGACCTACGAAATTGGATTCAATTTAACCTATGAAAGGTGTCAGTTTAAAAAAAAATTCTTACTATAATTACTCAAGAAAAAATCTACTCCCTATAAAAATTACTTGCGTTTTTGTGTCCATATCCTTAAATATTGAGCTTACATTTTCTCGTGTCTATATCAACATACCTTATGTTGAATGGGACCTTATTCTTTCCTGGATGTTAATCCGTAATTTTAGTTTCAATGCAATCTAATTGTCACTTGGTATAAAGTACAACCTTTTGAAAAGAGTTTGCCTATTGCATTTTCATAATTACAAACAAAAAAGGGAAAAATCAAGGCATTCTAGAGGAACATTTTCTCTTCATATCTCTTAAAGCTTTTATTAGAGATTGAGATAAATAAAGGCATATGTCAAATACGGTAAATTACAAATTTTAAAAGGAAAATGAAAATGAACATAAAGGTTGAAAGCTCCTTCGCCTTGAATTCAGAAGGCAAACCGGTCAAAATTTTGGATTCCCCAGGAAATGAGCATAGTAATCATTATCAAAGATAAAAGAAAAAAAAATTAAGAAATGAAAAAGAAGTATTTACCTTTGATATTTTTGCCCAAAAATTCTATACAAATTACACTAGTGAGAATGTAATGAAACTATACAGTTTTGTTGCCTTCTCTACTCTTGGTTGTATTAGCTGCAAATTTATATAGCCAGTGTCCCCTCAATGGCTTGGTTATCATCGGAAGAGTCAACCGGTTGGGATTTGGGTTTGCTCATGACTCGAGAATATCCGTAACCTAGCGAACTTCCACTAGCTTCACACAGCTGCAATAACACGGAACTCAGTATTTTTAAAACACTATTCATAAATGGGTAGCAACAGATCATGTCAAAGCTATGAAATACCGTATACCTCAGTCAGTTCAGAGAGGTGACGGGATCTAAACTCATTGATTGCAGATGCTATCTCTGATGTTGGCAGTTTAGCCTAAAAGAAGAAAAACACCAAATTTTAAATCAGTCATTAGTTAATAAATTATCACCACTGTCGGCTAGTTAACTGGATATTAAACCACTGACAGAGTTGGCCACAACGGTTGTCCACCTTTATTGGCCTATTAAGTTAAAATTTACCTCCGTTCTCGTTTATTAACAACGTTGTACTTTAAGGGAAATATATATTGAAAACTATATTCTAAAATGCAATGTTAGAAGCCAACAACACTGGGTGTACTAAAAAAAAAGTAACACAGTACCCTGCAGATAATTAATAAATATCAGCATATAATAAAGGATTGTATGAGCTATTAAAATTTCTTATGGAGGTATAAAAAAAAAATACACTACACAATCACAATTTTATCACTTGATCA